ACCCGGGGCCTTGGTGTTATCAGCACCGCACTCTCCCGAGTGAGCCACGGGCCGGCCCCCGCTTTTTCCTATTTACAACTGAAACTCTACCATTAAACTCTAACTCCCCATTTCTCTCTCCCCCAGCCGCAGGCAACCACCATTCTATTTTCTGTCTCTATGAATTTGGCTATTCTAAGTACCTCATATCATTGGAATCACACGATATTTATCCTTTTGAATCTGGCTTATTTCATTTAGCATAATGTCTTCAAGGTTCATCCACATTGTATCATGTCAGAATTTTATTCCTTTTTAAGGCTGAGTAATATTCCATTGTATGTTCTCGCACTTTGTTATCTATTTGTCTATTGATGAGCATTTGGGTTTTTAAATAATGGTTCCAGGAATATTGATGTACAAATACCTGTTGAAAGCCCTAATTTCAATTCTTTTGGATGTATTTCCAGAAGTGAAACTGCTGGGTCATATGGTAATTCCATGTTTAATTTGTGGAGGAACCATTATACCCTTCTCCACAGCAGCTGCACCGTTTTACATTCCCACCAGCAATGCACAAGAGTTCCAATTTCTCTGCATCCTCACCAACACTTGTGATTTTCCGTTGCTTTGTTGATATTAGCCATTTTAATGGGTGTGAGGCGATATCACGTTGTGGCTTTGATTTGTATTTCCCTAATGGTTAATGATGTTAGCATCTTTCCATGTGCTTATTGGTCATTCTTCGCCCTTATTTCCCCCTGAGATCTTAACTCACTCCTAAATGAAAACAATTCTGGATTTAGTCTGACATTCATGACAGGCTATATGCATTTTTTTTTTTTAAAAAAAGCTTATATTGCTTTAAAAATCACAAATCTTTTATATAGCATAATCAAACAGAAGCATATAAAGTAAAAAGTGGGAGCCCTTCAAAAATATATTGTCGGGCCAGCCCGGTGGCGCACTGGAGAGTGCACCGCTTGGGAGTGCGGCGGCGCTCCCGCTGAGGGTTCGGATCCCATGTGGAGACCTGTTCCCGCTCACTGGCTGAGCGCGGTGCGGGCGCAAGGGTTGTGATCCCGTTGCCTGTCCCCGGTACGGGCGCAACACCGAGGGTTGCGATCCCGTTACCGGTC